GGGGGAGAAGGCAACATAACCTACCTTTAATCCTTGCCAAGGCAGACTGGTTCTGTTAAAGTACATCAATACATAGCCTAGAGACTCCATGTCATCCCGACGACTGGAGAAAGGGGAAGAACACAATGAATTACAAACTTTGGCATTTCATACTTTATTTAAAATAGTGCAAGCATTCCAAAATTTTAAAAAAATAATTAAGGAATAAAACCTAAGCTTTGGTGCAAAGGAAGGTCTCTTTCTAATACAGCTAAGACATCTAGGTGTTCAGGATTCCACTGGCAGGCATGTAACAAGTCTTCACAAGCAGGAAGGAGATCCTATTCATTTTTCAAGCAAGGAATAGTCAGTAGGTACTGTGTGTGGTAAGTTTCCATCTGCAGTTACATTAGAACAATTTGGGAAACATAAAAACTTTGGAAAATAAACCCCAAAATGTTAAATGTCTCTCCCATTTAATTAAGTAGCTTGGATAGAAAAGTTTTACCTGTAGGAACCATGGAATGCACTTTAAGAGATACACATGACATCAGCCTTAACTTCATTAAGGAATATTTTTCCCTGAACCTTGCCTCAGTCTGGGACCAATACTGAACATCTAGCCCCAAGACGGTATAACTTCTTTCCTTCTTTCTTCACTTCTGTTAAAATTCCCTGAATTGTCTATGTGATTTTTAAGAGACAAGCAATATTTAGGAAGGTGCATGCATCAATCTGAGAGGTGCCTCTGCTTTCTTCCCACAAGAAGCCTGTTTTAAGGCAGCTAGAACTCCAAAGTTATCCACCCATAGACTTCACTGAGAATTTGCACGCAAAACGTTCATCTAAAAGGCTTCAAATGTTTTCTGTACTGCATATGCTCCAGATCCACACTTCAGCCACATGAATACCATCATACTTTGCAACACAGCTTTCATGATTACTAAGGCTAGTACTGTTCACTGAAGTGGAAAAAATGCTCCATGATTTTTCTTCCTCTTGGCAAAGCTGCCTCTTCCCAGCTGTGGTAGAATCAGATTTTTCCTCTGACTGCCCCTCTACAGCTGACATCTATTTAACATGAGACAGAAAAATAACTTATTTTTCTCCTCCCAGCTCCCTTATCAAGAGAACGTGACAGGTATTGCTGCTGCTTTGCCACCCAGGCAGATCTGCAGGAAAAGCATTTAAATGGTGGCAGAAAAGACTATGTACCTACTACCCCCACAAGGGAGCAAAAGGCTGACATTATACATATGGGTGAGGGTAAAACAGCTCCCTTTAAGTAAGAACAATCTGTAAGAACCTGGACAGATCTACCTCCAGATCTTGGTATGAGAGGAAAGAAGTTGTAGGTGATGCTTTGTGTTATAGCCAACCCAATATAACCACTAATAATGACCAGAATGGCCTGCCTGTCACCCCCTCAACTCATGTTCCAGTTCTCCAGCCCTTTGGGGAACCAGTTCAGGGAGCTATTCCAGAAGAAAATCAGCTTGGCTCCCTAAACCATTTCACCACAAGGACAAAAAAGCACTAGCTGTGCCCAGGGGTCAGGGAAGAGAAGGTTGGTTCACTCCCCTTGACAGCAAGGAGCTCTTGAGGTCACCTCAGCTGTAACAGGAAACCACAGCCAAGGACAGAGGGATGAAAAATAGTATCAATACTAAGACCACAAACTTCAGCCTGCAAAACTTGCTAATTCTATTAGAATTGCTGGTTTTAATCATCAACAGGATTCAGTGAACCGGTATGGGGCCATAACATAAAATTACATTTTCTGAGAAGGCAGTAGTAAATTCAGAAACAATAAAGGGATTAATAGTTTCCGCCCCCCACCCAGTTCATTGTTTTAATGTTTAATTTCATGATTTCGTAGTAGAAAACATTTAGTTCTGCAAATCTGTAATGGATATATTACATTTAAGCATAGACTGATAAAAGTGATTTTCAGGATTTTGAAAACAGGACAATACCCTCCATTACTAAAACAAGAAATAGATAACATTGCAAACAGCTCCTTGAGAATAGCTGTCATTACATATAGGAAAACGTGTTCTGTAACACTTAAAGTACAGCACTAATAATTGACGTATTCTGCCATAAGCTTCAGGACTGGTTTCTCTTGATTACAGGAATATATTATTTTCCTCACTGTTGGGCTTGATGTAGACCGTTTAATCGATTTTAGCATGAACGAAGCTACATTTCTAATTATATTAGAACTCCCAGTACCAGAGATGGTACAAGACCTCCAACTAAATTCAAAAGCAATAGTCCTTTGCAGTTCCCTCCCTTCACTGTAAGGTGCTAGCATGGCTATTCCCTTACATGAACAGCTTGGGTTCTATGAAATGTACTTACTTCAGAAATTACACCTATCATTTACCCTACCTGACCCACATGTCAAATAGGCTTACATAATGACACTGACAGATAATAAAATACACTTAAGGAACCTTAAGGAAATTAAAGCAAAGAGGAAACCTGAGGCATTTTAAAGCACCAAATATTTATTAAGTCACATGTTCTGTTGAAGTTGACCACTAGAAATTCTGTCTTTCCCACCTTGATTAAATTGAAGGTCAGAGGCACAGACATTCATGGAAGTTTTAACTATGTCTAAGTGACCTCAGCATCATGTGGTAAAGCCACACTTATTATACTTACACATTACAATATCTAGATATACAGGTAAGGAAGAGAAGAGAGGCATCACTTCATATCTCATGAGTACCTAGCATATACTTCTAAACAACCTAAAGTGCTGTCTCCACTGGACTGCTGCTAGGATACTGTAGTAGCAATATCTTTTTGACCCAGATGATAAAAATGTGTTTGTTGATCAAGCAAAGCTCAAACATATATACACACACACACATACATGTGTACATATATACATACAGAGCCAGGACTACAGTTGTGTATACCAGAAACCAAAATACAGCATGAGTGAAGTAGAAGATCTTCAAGTCTTGCTTGCATGCAAAAGGATAAACAATAGTTTACTAATGTGAAGGGAGAGTGAGAAAACAGGACACAGACACCAGCTAGAATACCCTTTCTGGCTATAGAATTGCACCTTAAGCCAATCAGCAGTGGCATCAACAGGTACCAACACAACTGGGAAAGCACACCATTTTATTTGTGAAGGTCCTCTGCCAGATCCACATGAACATATAATTTTTTAAAAAAAAACCAAAACAGTATGCAGAACATCCACCTCATGCCTGCAACACTTAGACTCTCTTCAAAAAGCCAATGAGGTGCCTGGATATTTTTCCCTTACCCTTGCATAGGCAGCCAAAAAGAAAAGTACTTGCAATGGGATATATATACACTTACTTATTCATATTAAATCAGTTCAGACACTTCAGAAGCTTGCAAATAAGATCATCTTGCAGCCTCCAAAAGCACAGTAGTAATCTCCTTGAACTCACCTCTGCTCAATGCCAAGATGTGCATTGATACTGGCATATCGAGCTGTGCCAGTGAGATTTTTGTCTTCTCTGTATGGTATGTGTTGCCTTGTCCTGTTGTCCCGGTACTTTTTGGCCAAACCAAAGTCAATAAGGAATAACTTAAAGAAAAATGAAAATAGATTATATTCCTATACAATGCAAGGAATCGCCAACCTCTTTCACTAGGCATTAGCTACATTTTAAGACATCCACAAAATGTAACAGCCTACAGTTAAGAGGAAGCAAAGTAACAGTGCAGAGTCGCAACTAGCTTTAACTAGCCAGTTCAAAAACTTAATAGTGAATTAATTCAAGCCTTTTCTCAATCCAGTGGAATAGATTAGATTGTACTACTCAGCATCCGTATCTTAGTTCTACAACTATTTTATGTTACTATTGTAGTTTGTATCACATTAGCTTGATAACTACAGTGCACAATTTAGGAAGGAAACTAGTATGTGCAAAAGCACACTTCACAAAAACCCACTCACACTAGAGCAGTTTACACATACAGATAGTTAATGGCAGCTCAGCAGCTTAATGCAAGTGATGCACATCCTGTATTCTTCTTTATGTCTCAAAGAACACTGGCCATTCTGCAGAGCATAAGGCCAAAACCTTCAACAGCAAACAAGACATCTTGCTTTCAATCGTACATTCATTTTAAGGCTACCAGTACACTATCACAGCAGCATGACACACTTGCTGATGATATTAATACAGCCAGGAAGCTAGAGCCTAGTACATGGAATCCAATTTAGGTTTCTAATAACCAAGCTTGCCCAATGATTTGATATTTAGCAACAACTGAGTGCGTGCTAATTAGTGTGCTAACAGCCAGCCTATCTACAAAGGTTAATACAGACTGTACCTTCTGTGACAAGATTTCAGGACTAGGCAAAAAATGCTGAGGCAGAAGTACATAAAGAATGTTTCAAGTTCTAGCAATCAGTCTTCAAGCTACAAATCATCAGGCTGAGCTCCTGATTCCAACGCTGGATTAATGCTACAGGATCAGGGACTACAACCCCTACAGATTAATGAATACTGCAAAGGTAACTTTGGGTGGGGGAAGCTGATTATGAAAGAAGACATAAGGTTCAAGAAATTCTCAGTAAAAACCTATTCAGTATCACCTTAAAGGTGGTTCCAGAACAGAAGATGCAGCTTTAAATGCAAACAAGTACTTGAGACTGATACGCAGGTATACCTGCATCCAAGGGTCACTCTGGCACACTGAAGTGCTGTGAATTATAAAGCAATGCTCAGCATGGAAGTATCAAAGATACTGAAAGACTGCAAGTTTCTGAATTGCACGGTAGGTATGTTTTAGAATTCTGTTTCAAGAAGATTTAACTACAGTAGTCTAGACAGGAAAAAACAAAGCTAAAAACCTCTTAAACTACTGATGTCGGAGCAGAAAACCTTGAGCTGAAGTCTTGCCATGATTTATATGCAACCACAAAGCACAGCAGTTCTGCATTTGCTGTTCTAGTGACAGTCACCCTGAAAGCCCAGAATGCTTTGAGCAAGAGGACATAAAACAAAGTTTTTAAAACTACACTGGTCAGACAGGTCAGGAAAGTGGGGGTCTTGTCTTCGTTGCACCTGCCACAGCTACCACTAGAGGTAGTTACTCACTTGGTGAGCATGCACATGTTCTCCAGCTACCAGGAAGTTAGCTATTTTGATACTAAACTCCTAAAGCAGATAGTATAAAGTTTCTCTGTGGTTACTATACTGAAAATGCAGCTTTCCTAGAAGCAAAGCCTGAGCTCAAATGCAATCCCTTATTTTCTGATTAAAGCTTTCTGATCTGATGACAGCCTCTGATGTACAGGTTGCAATAGCTACTTTTGCAGGGTCTTGGCCCATTAGTTTAAGCAAAATACTATGCTGTGAGAAGGAGGGAAAAACAAACACTATACCTATCAGTCAGAATATTTTCACTGCACATTTAGTTACAAACACTTTAAACAATTCAAAGTCTTCATGTGCTTTCTGTAATCCTGAGGATCTCGCTGTTAATTAATAGTATGAAGGGACAAAGTCACAGTTCATGAATCAAAATAATTAATACTGGAAGTGTGCCTCCAATACATAAATAGCTGGTGTCTAGCCCTGTTTAGCATAGACATGGTAAGACTACTTTCTTCAAAAGTTATAAAAGTAAATAATGCTCTGCCTCTTCCACAGCTGCTGCGAGCTCTTGATATTAGACCTGAACAAGGTAATTCTACATTCTCTCAAGACATATGGGTAGAATCTCTTAAAAAAAAAAGGGGGGGGGGGGGGG